CTCTTCCCAGAAGCAGCCCAGTGCTTCTCCGGTAGCCCACTGCTGTTGAAAACACAGTACAAGGTCAGCGGCTCCCTAGGCGGAGCTAAGTGACTTTCCCAATGTCCCTGCAAGGAAGGTTCTGTCACCGATGACAAGAGTTCACACAGTCTGTCTCTTGGTGCTCAGTAAACAGTAGAAATTTCTCTTTCTTCCCCGTTAAACTTCTGTGAGTTTGTTTTGCATCTGGAAGGTGAGAACCGTGATCTCAAAGGAGCAAAGAGAAATGCTTTTAGAACAGGAAGTGCTCTGGAGGTGGAGCGGACAGTGACCCCCAGGGGTGCCACCTCTGGAAAGCCGCCCACCCGTCATCCGACCCCATGACTGCCCTCCCTGGGACGTGAATAGTAAGAGAAGGGGGGATATTCCCCTTTGAGAGACGGAGACACGGAGGCTCTCGGATTCCTGCCTGGGAATCTGTCGCTCGAACCCCAAGCTCTTGCTCCTAGAAAATGCCGCCCACACATTAAAATGTGGGGTGTTTAAATGAAGGGCAGTACGTGCCCAAATGTCAGAAGACCCTCTGGAGCAACTGATTTATTCTTTGCACAAATGTTTATTGGGTACCTACTTTGTCAGGGATAAAAAAGTGCCCACGACCCACGTGGGGCTTGCCCTGGGGGAGCTGGCATCCCAGTGAAGAGATGAACCGGGAAGTTACAGAACCGTCATCACTGAGGCCTGAGAAACGCGATCACCGGCACGGTTAGGGGAGGGGGCTCGGGGACCGGAGATGAGAGCGAAAATACGTTGTCCCTCATCTCTACGCACAATCGAGATGGTTCAGAAACATGAATCAGCACAGGTTCATAGCTTGTTTGTGCTCTGTGGCCACTGTGGTCAGTAGAAGGTCTGTGTTTGTCCTGGATCCCAGAGGCATCCAGGCCATCAGAGCCTCCACCACCTCCATGCTGACGATACAGAACCAGAAAGAAAAGAGGGGGCCTTGGAACAGCCACCTTCAACCAGGGTGCGGTGGCTGGCGCCCCGGCGCGCCCTGGGAATGTATAAAACTTGTGGTACCTGACTGTTGAGTCAGGGCCACTGGCATCTGTTCCCTTAGACAGTTGAATAAAAAGTGACCAGGGTCATCACAACATTAGCTGTCCCATGGGAGTGAATCAGAATCACACCTTTTTTGGTCACATTGGCAGATCAATGTGTTTGGTGTGCCAAGAATTTTCATAATTAGTTTGTGCGTGCCACGAGATGAGAAAGGTTGAAAATCGCTGCCCTAGAAGATGTCCCACTGACAGCTCCAGGCTTAGCCAGGCAGCAGGGCTCCTCACTTGTACTAGCAACTCATTGGCTGGCACTGGTCACATGGTCTCACTCACTGGGAAGTGGGGCGGGGCAGGAAGTACAATCCTGCCTATTCTACTAGGGGCCCAGGAGCAGCTTTAAGGACTAATGCTGACTCCCAAAGGCTACCAATAGACCCTCTTAGGAAGTTCCATCTTCCTCTTTCAGTTTGGAGGTCAAAGCCAAGCTTTGTCAGAGCATCCACAACATTGTGTCACTGATGACTTCCTGTCCAGCTCATGTTCCGGACCTCCTTGTTCCAGAGACCCCGTGTGCCTGAGAAAGAAGAACAGGGATCGAGCTGAGGGGTGTTGTACTTTGAGGGCTGGGCCAATGTGGGGCTGCACTGGTGTTACGTGGGGGGACCTGCCTGGTCACTGTGGTTTCCCCAGAGCTTCCTTTCCCCTCAAATCCTGCCTTAGTCCCTGCCTATCAGAACGTGATAAGGCTGTGGAAAAAGTGAGCCTGTGGCTGGGGACCGGACGGGAGGCCCGGGGGGTGGGGGCGCTGGGAATTTTCCTCCCATCACGAGAAAGGTCTGTCTTGTGTCTCACCACATCCCTCCCGCGCCCCCGGTCCAGGAACTCATGCGAGTTTTCCACCAACCGCTGCTGCTGTTGCACAGAAGTTGATGAATGAGCCCAGGCACGCAAGCTGTCATGCCAAACAGCCACTGAGACACTGGTCGCTGGTCCCTGGCTCTGGGTCAGAGCCGACGGTGGGGAGCTGAATCGGGGGGGGGGGGGGGGGCAAGGCCCTTATTTTTCTTCGAGTGAACTTCCCCATGGCTCACTTCCTGCTGGGTCGGGGTCCAGCCCCGGGGAGGACCCCGCCTGGGCCTGGACCACGCAGGGCTGGGACCTTGGTCTGCAGCAGTGCCGCCCATTAGTGACTATTCATCATGGATTCGGGGAGGAATCCTAAGAAATGGAGACACAAGAAACATTTTTAGCTGGAGTTTGTGGTGATTTTGAGCCATGTGTGAAAGCAAATTTATGTCAGGGATGCTAAAGGTGGGCCAGAGAAATGGCTCCGGGCCACTTCTTCTCAGAACCGGTGAGGAGGCTGTTTCCCACCAGCTTGGGTGTGAGGACAGCAGGCGGCCAAGGGTCTTGAGCCCCCAGCTCCCGAGACCAGCCACCCACCGTAAAGCCCCACCAGGCTCTGAGAGTCCAGGCTTCTTCCAACCACAGAGATGCTGTGGGGGTGTGTTTCTGAAGCGGTCTGCCGAGGGCCACTGCTGGCCCATAGGGGACCTGGTGAGGACTTGCACAGGACGTCTTGTCTGGAATGCGGTGTCAGAGCGAGCAGCCCTGCAGGGCCATGAGCAGGGGTTTGCCCACTCCCTGCCCGGCTGGTGCCTCGGGGCAACTGGCTTCCTTCTGCAGTCTGAACACAGGCTGTGCTCCCTCCTCCAGACAGAGACGCCCCCTCCACCTGCAGTGCCTGCCCTCTTGGTCCTGCCAACTCGGTTCCTTAAAGCCAGGCTGCTGCTCTCCCTGCCCCCCCGCCCCCATGCCCCAGGACCTTCACTGGGCCAGCTCCCGCCTCCCTTCAGTCCTGTGAAACCCTCAGAGAAGCCTCAGCCCCTGCTCTTTGCTCTCCCAGCCCCTGGCATGCGCCCCCATTCCAGGGGAACGGGTCCACTCTGCCCCGTGCCCTGAAGGAACTCCAGCCCCCGAAACAGCAGGAACGCAATAAAAGGGCTGAATTGATGAGTGAAAAAGGGAATGAAGTCTAAACTCACTGGTATTTTATCTCGAGAGAGCCTGCTTGGTCCCAGGGTATCAACCTGGGGGTAGGAGTGGCTTTTCTTCCCCAGCTGGGGTCTCCCAACATATTGGGGGAGAGAGGCTCATGCCTTCCCGGCTAGACACATGTTTTCCCAGGGTGATGATTTCGTCTTCTCCTTCTTCTTTGCAGATGGGTGCCCAGAAGACCCTCCTCCACTGGGCACACGGACCCAGCGCGACCTCCCACCAGCTAGGGTTCGAGCTCCTGGTCACAGGACAGCCTGGAGCAGGCTTGGAGGCAAGTGGTCTGGGTTCTAATTCTGTTGCTCTGCACCCTTGTCCTGTCGTCTTGGGCTCTCTGGGTCTGGTTGCCTCCCAGGGAAAGTGGGGACCACAACACAGTCGTACCGACTCGTGGGGGGGGGGGAGGTGGGGAGGGTTAAATGAGGTAACGAACGTGAAAAGATCAGGTTGTGTCTGCCACCGAGTAAGCCATCACTGGGTCGTCGCTCTGATTGTGATGATGACGTTACTCCCCACGGTCCCGCAGTTCCCAGAGGCTGGGCTCCACTCCTGGCCCTGACCCCAGGCTCGTTCGGTCACTTAGTCGCTCTCCATCCAAGCAAACCTCTGCTGGCTTTCCCGGTGCCTGGCCCTTCCCTGGCCTCAGGGATGCAGACGGTCTGGGGAGGAGCGGCCAGTCCGGGGCAGGGTGTACAGGGGCAACACCAGGGAGAGCTGAGGGCCCTGTCTTGTCCTCTGTGCACTGACCCTCGTCAGCATCTCAGAGAAGCCCCTCGGAGACCCCTCTAGGGGTGCGGTGACTTCGACACTGACTCACTTATCTCACAGGCATGTGCGTGCACCACCCCTGTGCGCAGAGCTCTGGGGATGCCGGGTGGACGAGGTGGGGCCCTGCCCTCAGCAAGTTCGCATCCCAGCAGACCTATTAATGGAGGCCACGCCCCCCCCAAGTTGGAACATTTGTACTCAGAAGTAGATGAATAAGATGCTTCCTGACTGGGTTTTACTGATCGATTTGGCCTCTTTCTTCATTCCTTGTGACCAAACTGTCCTCCTGCTGCTGTGTTCCCACTTATCTCTGAGACACCCTCAATGCCATGGCTGCTTCTAGTGGGACAGTCCCCTCCCCCGCCATCCTAGACCCATCTACTGCCTACCTGCACCCCAGCTTTCCATCCTCCAGGGTTACCTCCAGGAAGCCTCCATGACCCAAACCCGTCTCCTCCTCCATGCTGCCCCCACCCATGACATCCCCCTAACCCGCTGCTCATCACCATCACACCTCAGATGTTATCTGTCTGCCCACGGGACCGAGGACCCCGTGAGGACAGGGCTGTGCCCGATAATGCCGGGCCTCCGTAACTGCGCCTTCGAAGTCTAGCCTTCGAAGTGAGCGACCCATGTTCCAGATTCATACACTGAACAGAGTGAGTGGACATGCTGATCCCGTAAGTCTCCTGAGACCAGAGCGCTGGGGGGACACTCTCCGGGACATGAGGAAGGGCTAGACCTCCATCAAGGTGATACTGCAGCCACTGGGTAACAAAGGCCTTTGTTCTCTTAAACACGAATGCACTGAAAAAAACTTGTGCCCTTCCAGTCTTGGGAGGTTCCTTGGGCGTCCACCATGCTGCTTTTCGGATGGACCCCTGGCAAGGGCAGCTGTCAGGCCCCCTCGGGGACAGGCGCCGGGTCTTCCAGGCTGAGCCAATGGCATCCTTTTCCCAGGGAGCTGCGTGGCCCGGGACCAGGCCGACAGCCCCCAGCCTCTCTTCCAACCGTGCCTGCAAAACCCCTCACGTGGCTTCTTCCCTCCTGATTCACAGGAACCTGCTTCCTCGGCTTCCAGAGAAATCTCTCCAGAGGCAGCTGGTCATCAAAACAGAAGTTTTGAATGCTTCCTGAAGCCTGTGCCCTCGATGTCGGAACCAGGGTGACGTGACGTGGGGCAGGGGGAGGAGAGCGACTACCCCAGGACTGAATCCCAGTGAAAGACTCGGTCTTCGAGGGGCATCTTCACGAAGAACGATACAAACATGTAAGTGAACAGTAGTCGAAGATGTCAGAAATTACTGGGGCATCCCGCTCGGAGCCAAACACGCGTGTGCGAGGGCAGGGATGCACTGACTGCGAGCGTGTGGCTGGGAAGAAAGGGCACCTGCCCCTCGGCCACCCTCCTTTCAGACAAAGGCTTTCTCAGCCCGACTCTTCCCTGCCCGGAGGTCCCTGGACGCTTGTCCCAACAGCAACACTTCACAGGGCCTTCCGTCCTAACAAATAATTAGCCGAGATCGAACTGGGGATTTCTTCCATGCATGTCATAGGTCTGATATGAATAATGAGGCGGGAGGTTAACGGGGGGTCAGAGACAGGTCCCCATCTTCCCGCTTATTTATTCAGCGAAATGAGAAATTGATCACATTATTGCGTGGAGGGGGAGCCTGATTCATAGCAATCAGCTCAGAATTGGCAGTTTTGACTGTAGGCAATTTGGGGACATTACTTATGCCTGAATAGGCCAGAAAGGTCGTTTATAGCTTGTTAACACCTTTCCGACCTCCTCGTCCGCCCGATCTTGGTCTCCAGCCTGCTTTGCCCTGCACCTGGGCCAAATGGAAAATCGCAGATTGGTGGGAACAAGGCTTCTTATAATATTAAAAACACTAACATGAGAGTTAGTCCAGAGACAGTTTCTTAAAAGGCATGTGTGCCAGAATGTGATTTCTTTATCCATCTGTCCGTCCATCCTTCCATCCATCCCTCCATCTATCCACCCACCCACCCAGGTCTTGCTTATGCATGTGTAAGTTGGCCATAAGCCCATTTTGTGGGCACTGGTCACTCATGCAGGCTCACCCATGGCATCAGGCACCAGAGTTGCAGGGATTAAAGGTGTCCCTGGAGACTGTAGGATGCTTGGCCAAGGACGGTGACAGCCTGTGCCGGAGGGAGGGCTATGGGCTTCTGCCAGGCTCTGGGAACGTGGCTACTACCCAGCAGAGTTCCTGGCCACCAGGTGTTACTCAGTAAAAGTGGGATGAGGGGCGAGTGCTGAGCTGCTGCAGTGTCTCACAGCGGTGGTGCAGTGTACCAGCCCTGCCTGCATGTGCCGGGCTGTGCCTAGTGCAGTGCAGCAACCGAAAATAGGGGCTCTGGGCTCTGGCTGGCGTGGCTTGGTGGGTCGAAGCATTGTCCTGGAACCAAAAAGTTGCAGGTTTGATTCCTGGTTAGGCCACAAACCTGGGTTTGGGGTTCAATCCCTAGTCCATGTGCATATGGGAGTCAACCAACCAATGGTTTTTCTCTCATATCGATGTTTGTCTGGTGCACTTCCTCTCTGTCTCTGATAAGGGCAAAGTCCTCGGGTGCGGATTAAATAAAATAGGAACTTTGGAATCAGAGTCTAAGCCTCAGTTTCCTCATCTGCAAAGTGGGGCCAAATCATTGACTGTACCTCAGGCGACATAGAAAACCTTCAGAAGTGGTGCCTGGTACATTCTAGATGTGTGATAAATGACAGCTGTCATCGTCATCAGCAGCGCCGTTTTGATCAGAAAGGCCGGGAGACATCTTGGTCTGCTCGGGGAAGAGCTTTTTCCAAAACCCCAAGAGGGGGAAGGGAGGGAAGCGCGGTGTTCTGGCTCTTTGTCGCCACCGACCCATGTGACCTGACACAGCCACGGCCACTCGTGGTGTTTCATGTTTCTGTCGCTTGCCTGGGCCCAGCTGGGCATTTCTTCTGCTGGCCTCACTTGGGGTCTGTCCTGCAACGGCTGCCCGGGGGCATCTGGGGCGACCGTCTGTCTGCAGACTCAGCTGGGAGGGGAGGACAGCTGGGTCCCCCTGCACCTGTGTCACCCCAGAGGCTCTCCTCTCTGCGAGGTCGGCGTGGGGACAAACGGAGCGACGAGACCTGGTGGGGCCGGCAGCCCGCTGTCTCTGCCGAGGTGTGCACGGAAGGCTGTGTGTGGACACAGGGAGACTTCAGAGCAGGGTCTGGTCCTTCACCTCAGCAACCAGCCCCAGCCCAGCAGCACGCAGGCTGGGCGGGTGTGGTCCGGCCTCGGTTCTCACCATCAGCGTCTGCTCGGTCACCTCTGTGCACGGGACAAGCTGCTTTGTTAGGTCTCCTTGTCAGCATCCTTGGTGGAGACCCTGAACCTCTTTTTCTTTTGCTCCCAAGGGAAGAATCATCCTTTTTCCCCTAATTCCCAGTTGTCATGAAGCCAGACTCAGGGCTCACGGCCCCACAAACAAATGCCGGGCCTTGGACACAGCAGTGGGCGGGACGGACATGGAGACTGTTGGTGGTCTCCGCTTTTTCCCATCTCTCTCTCTCTCACACACACACTCACACACACACACACACTCACTCACTCACTCACACTCATCCCCACCCTCTTTCCAGCCCTTTCTCCCCCTGCCCTTAGAATAAACAAAACTCTTTCATTCTGGGGCCTGGAAGATTCCATAATGAGTTGAGCCTCTTAACAGTCTATTTTAATAAAACTCAGCTCCCTGGCTGTATAGAGACCATAAAACATGCAGGTTCCAGCAATAATATGTTTAGTAGCCCTGCTTGATAAAGTGGAAATGTTTGCATGTTTCAAATTATGAGCAATTTAAAGTAGGAAGCTAGCAAGCCAGTTCTTGGGTTATGAAGCTTGACATTGTAAAGCCTTAAGAGAACACAGACTTCAAAGTCTCCTGGTCTGAAATACGTCCCGTACGCTCTTCGGGAGAACCAGCTGGGATAGGCCTGCTGCTGCGGGGAGGGGGAACCGCAGAGAGATTCAGCTGCGTCTGTCAGTCCTTCCACACCCACTCGGGCTTTTTTGTGCAGGGAGGTGTGTCCCCCAGAGGGCCCTGCCTGACACAGCACCCACCCTCTCCACACACGGCAGACTTTCAGCATCACCAAAGCATTCCGACAAATGCTGAGTGTGACGGCAGGGCTGAGCTCCTGCCAGCAGTCGGATCCTAGCAGTGGTTTTAAACTGACTTCCTCTGAACCTCTCTGCGTTGGTTTATTTTCTATGGGATTACGTGCAGCCTTTCATACGAGCAAGAGGTTTTCGCCAAGTTCGCTCCGGCCCAGCCGCACTGGCCTCCTTTCTGGCCCTTGAACTCGCCAAACTCGCACCCGCTTCAGAGCCGCCACTCATTTTTCAGTGTGGTTCGCTCCCTGTCAATCAGGCTTCAGATTAAGTCTTACCTTCTTCTTGGAGAGGCCTCTCCTGATCTTCCCAGGCCTCCGCGTTTGTTCTCGCCTTTCCTTGGTTTTTCTCTTTCTGGGCACTTATCACAATCTTTTAGTGATTTTATTTATTTATTTATGTGCTTGCGGGTTTACTATCCATCTTCCCCAATCGCGTGTCAGTTCCGTGGAAGCAGACACTGGGTCTCCCTCGATCACCACTGGGTAGCACGTGCTCAGTGCTCCATAAATATTTCCTGGTTGAATGGGTGGGTGGATGGACGGATGGGGGGATGCATGGGTGGATGAGTGGATGATGGATAAACGGATGGATGAATGAATAAATGGGTGAATGAATGGGTGGGTGAATAGATGCATGGATGGGTAGGTAGGTGAGTGGGTGGTTGGATGAATAGGTTCACAGAAGGATGGATGGATGGATGGATGGATGGATGGATGGATGGATGGATGACCTATAAGGATTCTTCAAACTCCAAGCCTTTAGAGTCCAAGTCCTTAGAGGACACGCCCCTAGGTGCGGTGAACAGAGTTTGAAGAGGTAAGCACAGTGCTGCCCACCACTGCCGGCTCCTGTAACGACAGGAAGGCACTCGAGTTCACGGGCTGGCTTTGGGGAAGGGGAGTGGCCAGCAATGAAAATGACTCCACTTGCCCCTTTAACATCACGCTCCCTTCCTCCGTTATTTTCCCGAGATCCAAGGTGGAAGATACAATTTCTATACCTTTAAAAAATCCCATAATTGCACCCGTGCGGGACCCTCCACCGCCAGGCAGCACCCCCAGTAAGCACAGGAACAAAGACTAGCCTGTTCTTGACTAGACAGCCGAGCCAGGCCCAGCCACCGTGCGGTATGCGACCCTGCCCGGTCGGCTGAATTCTTCAGCTGATAAGAGTGCTTCGTCTCTTGCTGAGGGGGAGTGTGCAGTTTGGGGTGAGAAGACCTCCCTGTGGTTCATTTGTTCTGTCCCCACCCCTCTAGCAGGGCACCCCATCTTCCACACGGTCTCCTCTTACCCAGGTTGCATTCCAGGCAGCCGGTGGTACCCAGGCTGCCCCTCACTTCCTGGGTATCATTTGTCAGCTGAGCTTGGCCAGCTAAAACTGAAGATGGCTCCCTCCAAGGGCATGGCCAGGGAGGCAGACAGTGCGGCATTGAAAAGCATACCCCAGAATGGGGCTGTGGGTGTGAGCCTCTCCTCCCCGGCCTTGCTCTGGTTGCTACAGCTTTTCACGGACAGGCTTGCTGGGCCCTCTGCATCTTGCCCATCAGAACCCCTAGACTCAGAATGGGGTTGCCCAGGGCCACTGTGCATGTGCCCATGTTATGCCCTGCTCCCTTCCAGGGGGCATCAGGCACAGAGCCCCACGTGAGTGCCCATCTCCCAGGGTTTGTGCATCACGGCCACCCTGGGGAGCCCTCTGCAGAGCTCAGTTTCAGGGACCAGGATACCGGGGGGCCTGCATAATTCTCCCTGCACCCACCCCCACCAGGAAGGATCAGGGAAGCCGTGCATCAGGCTGCTGCATGTGGGTCATGGCTGGCAGAATATTTCTACTGTCAGTTCAACAAAAAGGGTGATGATCACAGTGAAGCTTAACAAAGAAAATGCTATCGGGCAATTAGTGAGCCCAAGTCAGCAGGACTGGTGTGAAATTTATCATGTTGGCAACAGCACGTTCACCTGCGTGTGACAAATGTGGGCGTGGGAAGCTCTGGAAGACATCAACTCTGCCCTCCCGGCCCCTCCAGAGCCCAGAGCCTTGGCCCCTTGGGCGTTTCTGGAGCATGGGTGCAGGAAAGACCCAGCTGTATTTTGTA